GTCAGGGACCACGCCTATACGCAATTCAGCACAATGACGCTGCAAGTTATGGGTTATTCTCCTACATTTACCTTTACCTTTCTACGCAATTATATAGAGCCACGTTATTATTGGTTCGCTTGATGATACAGTCTATAGATGTAGAATTTCTTTTTCAATTACGGAACTATGTTACTACTCAATCGCCTACTATAATGTTTTTGTAATTATGAACCATGAAATTTAACATAATGAAATTCTCTGCACCTTGTAAATTAGATAATTTTGTAAATTACCGGTATTATACTATTACAAAATAATACATCCCTCATTTGCACTAGAGATAAAGGGGAAAAGCAAGGTTTGTGACCACTCTCAACTATAGTCATACCTTGTTCTAATAAAAAGGATCTGAAAACATTTGTTTTAATGTCTTTAAAAAAAAATTGAAATTACAGTTAGATAAGACCTGAGACAACTATACAACTTTAAATAATTTATCTCAGATAAGACTATTAATGTTATTCACAAACATTATCTAAATTTTAAATACAATTTTTAATATCAAAATTATACATGACGTTGAGGGCGACATGACGTTCTTATTTTACTTGCAGTAAAGACTTTTTCACCAAGTCTCAACTGAGGTGTATGTTAATATCCATGCGTAACCTCAAACATATTAAAACAACACATACCAAAGTTCAGAAACTATGTGTATTTGATATGAAAAACTGGGGGTATTAATTATTTTCTACAAACGGGAAAAATCCCACTAAAACGACAAGGTTAAATCCATTGGGTAATTTCTACCAGGGTTGATATATTTATTCTTCCAAGGTCGAAGATATATCGACAGGGGTTGGGAGTCTCTCAACTGGTTTTGACAACTAATATTATTTATTATTTGATTTCAGATATTTGACATATGCTATGAATGAAACTAAAGTACGTTCTCAGGACTTTTTCACCGTAGTGAACTACATCGCAGATAACCCAGTTGGAAATCCTTTAGTGTGGGATTGGGTACGAGCAAATTGGGAAAAATTAGTCGAAAGGTATTGAACAAAATAGATAGTTTAGATTATAACATAGAGTTGATGTTTTTGTTGTTGTTCTTGTTGTGGGTAATTCCCCAGTATTAAATGGCCGTCATTGGCATGCTCCAGTCTTAGTAATAGGCCTAGATGTATACTGTACGTTGACTATACAACATCTATTTTAAAGAGGATTGGTTGGGCCTATGGTTTAAGATATTTAACTAGATTACAGCTATAATTTCAATTATTCAAATTCAAGTATAATTTCCTAAATTTAGGATTCAGAATAAAGTATGTTCCAACGACAGCAGTTTCTGCTGCGCCCCTGTAGAGACCTATATTTTAACAAATCAAAATTCTCAAAATCAAAATACCCAGTTCAATACGGTCTCTCTTCCAAGAAGTAGCTTGGCTCAACCTAATGTTCACCTCGGTGATTTTAAGTGAACTGACAAATGGAAGTTAATATTCCGTATTTAACACATAATATTAGATGCAAGTAATATTCCACTAAAGTGGCACTGTCATATTTATTATGCATGCTGATTTGGTTTGGAAATTACACGGAAATGTAAAATCATATTCTAAGTTATGCAACGTAACATGGTTAGTTTTAACATTAGAGAAAGATCAAGAACTCACGTGGAGCGAAAATAGCAATTCTGCTCAAAATGATTGGTCTTAGCTTAAAGTTTGTACCAAGCTGATTTTGTTTAAACTATTGTTATTATTTTGATTTGATTTGATTAATTTGATATCAAATAAAAAACATCACAAAACCGGAACAACTGATTACAATGAAACAAAATTGAGAAAACAAGTCATCAATGTTGATATCTGGGATAACCCTCTAAATCCCCCAAAAGGATTAATTTCCATAGGGGTTCCAAAGGTTTTCATGGCGAAGTAATTCCGTAATTATATTAAAGCTTGTAGATAAAAAAGAACTGCTGTTAGTTGAGAATATCTCGACGTTTCGATTGAGTTGCTTAAATCGACTTTAGGAGAATACATATTTTTTATAGTGCATTTTCCCATTTAAAAAACCTTCTTTAATTCAATTTATACAGCTTTGTACAGGTTATGTACAATAGTATTTCATGTTCATTTGTTTTGATTTGTTTTTATCAATTTTGTAAAGTATAACTTCGTGAAGTTTGTTCTCAACATTTTATCAATATTATAAAGTTACATTGTTTTGATTTCAAACAAATGATTGAATATATGAATAAAACAATGTAAGTATTGCCAGTTCTTATTTAATAATGTTAATAATACCAATAATAAATAAATAAAATACTAATGTAGATATCATCGTATTGAATATATTATTGAATGAGATTCATTATTGCAATGCCTAATTTACAAACAATTATTTTTAAATTGTAATAATAAACTTTATTATTTGATTGAATAATTTCTAGATTTGGTATAAGTTCCAGATCACTTGGTCGTCTAGTTCCAAGTATTTGTGAGTTTTATGCAACAGAATTTAAATTACAGCAGGTACGCATACTATATATTTATTTATTACAAATCAGATTAAATGAAAGTGCGAGGCTTAGAGGACATAGTATACACAATTTTAAACAATCAATAATTTTGCTTTGTTCCAGATGAAAGACTTCTTCAATGCATATCCAGATGCCGGTGCTGGTGAGAGAGGGCGCAAGCAAGCACTGGAAAAAGTACAGACTAACATCGACTGGCTAAAAGTAAATGAAAAGAAAATAGAAATGTGGCTAGCAGACAACATGTAATAACATGCACACTGACCACGGGAACACGCTCCTTTTCTTATATTAATTTTATACTAAAAGTTTGTATGAATCAAGACAATTTTTGTAGTGAACGTTTTTGTTTATACAGTAATCCATTAGGTTAAGTTGAAACCAGATTACTTAGACAACAGTGCTCGATGCAGGGGCAGACTTATAAAATCAAAACAAGATGACGCTTGGTTACAAAATCAACATTTTATTGCACTACAGGCTGTTTCATGAGGTACTTCCTCAATCGTCAGGTGCTAGGCTCTCTCTCTCTCCCTCTCTCTCTCACTTTCTCTCTCTCTCTCTCTCTCTATATATATATAATATATATATAATATGAAATTTACAGTTCATATGTATTAGAATAAAATACTGAATTAGTAATTATTCCGATTTCTTCTATTGTAGCGCCCTCTACATCCTATTTCCGAAATTATTTCAGATTTCATGACATAAATACACGAAGTCATAATAATTACAGAAAACGCAACTTTTAAAATTGTGAATTTGAAAGAAAAAGAAAAAAGAAAATAGTTTAAACAGGTTGAATATTTAAATTGATAATCAATAAAAGTTGTTGTATCGCCTATGAAAAGTAAGAAAAAACACATGTTATTAAAATAAAACCTATTTTAATACACAATTATATTATATTTGCAATCGGTGTGTTTTAAATACGCAGACGTATAAAGTAAGGTTAATTGAAATGTAAATTGAACTAGGTGTTGATTCTTATGATTAAATTTAGTCGTGAGAACTGATTCTTGAATTCGATTAAAGAGCCATAGAACTGGAAAATACAAGGACATAACCACTATAAACAATAATTATTATTGTAGGCCTTTGAGATTTCATAGAAGTGTGGATAGAAATATTTAGTAAAATTGATTTTATGATATGTTAATAATAATAAAGGCGTGTATATCAGTTATATGCAAAAGAGATCTGACGTGAATTTATATTATTATGATATTCCAGCCAGCTTCATTGTTCTAGCGGTTTGACACTTGCCAAGTTAGCGAAAGATCGCAGGTTGAACGTTTTCCACAAGAAGAGCTTTTTCATACAACTGATTAGGAACAAATTCTTATATTAGTTACAGGATGATAGATATTATTATAAAATATCTTGTTCCTATATTTGATCACGGTTCCTATTAATTTACTTATTTGTTTATAATGTTCGAAGAAACATGGAGCAACTTTATGTAATATGTTTATTCACTATAATTTTAGCTGTGTATTTCTATGGTTTAATACTATTTCTACAGCTTTTCTATGTGAGGGCGTATATTATTGTATGAGATGCTGATCTGGGTGTATTATTAAATAAACCATGACTTATCAAAGAGATAAACGTTAAACCGTCTTGCGGTAATAGTAAAGCATATTAAATTCTGAGAATCTGCGAGTGTGAAAAAAGTTGCTCGAACCCGGGAACTTCATTTGTCTATTGAGACAACTGGGTCACTGGGATGAGAAACGGTTGATACTTTGAATATAATATAGTCCTATATAAACAGATTTATAGATAGTAATTATATATATATATATATATATATATATATATATACATATATAAGTGAGGTAATTATCGTATCAAGCACAGGTCTTCAACAAAAAAATCATATAACGATGCAAACTTGCTAATTGTACCGACACAATTTTGTATAATGTTATTTAGTAGTTCATTAAAGCATTCCAGAATCCACTGTTCATCACACATTTTCATATCCGTCAATGTATCAACAGTTGTAATAAAACATGTAATTGACATCATGGTTAGTAGCATAGTCTATACTTCTTCCATTGCATGTTTAACAAGAGAGTATGACGATACAAATGTCCATCATAGTCGACTCTTTATTCCGCCACATACTTGTTAAATGAAATGATAATACCTTACTTCAAAACATAAGCTTTCCATGTATGTCAAGATGCTAGCTTGCTGTAACCATTTACAACAGTTAAGAGAACAACACTTCATATTCATCATTGTGCATATGCATTTACAAGAAGCAAGCATGCATTAACTGGGTTATGGTCATCCTTTTATCTCGATTAAGCTTTGAAGATCCAAAAGCTTATAAGTCGGCAAATACTAAAGGCAAATCAACTGGTAGTGGAACTTATCTCACCCAATGCAAAAGAACCAGATTAGACTATACCGACATGTGATGAAAATCGACGGAAACGTGTTGTTTTGCCAAAGATCAAACTTCTATTCATATAAAAATGTTTGCAGTAATTGACGAGTCATTTTAAGATTTTAATATTTAATATGTATTTTTTTCAAAGTGCAAATTTAAATAATTATAATAATGGACAACATCGTCATCATAAGTTATAAGTTAATTGAGGGTAAGAGCAATTTCGATGATTAAACCTCGAATGCTTGTTTATTCACTATGTTATTTTACGATATTGGTGTCAAACTACTCTAAAAATGTTTCAATGTTTTGGCTTCTAATCTTTACATTATATATATATATATATATATATATATTTATATATATATAGTATATAATGTGATTGTATGAAATACACCGACATATACATTGTACATTATACATATTATGTAGACTTATATAAATAAACAATTATTGGTTTCAATATACTTATAAATGTGATAGGTATCGTGATGTCACTCATACCTACACTCGTAAAATATATAAAATGTAAAAATACGACTACTGATGTTTAGAAAGATGCTGAGAAAATTGGCACATTCAGGCATTACTACTATAAACATGAAAAATAATAAATTATAAAAACATATTTTTTTTTGTGTAGGCCTATATATAAAAGGCGTTTTATTATTCGACGGTATATCTCAAGTTTTCTAATTTAAGCCGATAAAAAATCCTAATTTAGTCTACTGATTAAAATCAAGTCTACTTTACACATGTATTATGGTATCAGGTATATGTATAGATTTTGCTATATATTTTAACAAATCTGAAGTGAGACCTCAACGTTCCAAAATATTAAATAAGCATTTTCAATCTAACATAATAATAATAATAATAATAATAATAATAGTATCGGTAATTTGATTATTTGAATTTCTCTTTATTATTATTAAACAGGTCTATTGGTGATATGGAATCATACCGTGGAATAGTGTGCACAACAAAGTATAAATATATCTAGTTTATCTTATGGACTAATGAAAATCAGTATAAACGCGCGTCACAAGTCTTCATTCAATTGCAAAAACCAAAAAAAAAAAAAAAAAAAGAAAAAAAGGAAATATGAATTGATACCACACCTGCAGTTTCAATCAAGAAAATTTTCCATAAATGATTATTCGAATTTATGGAGCTTTACTCATTCTCACGAGAAATGAATATCAAATTTGATGGCAAAAACAAGTCACTAAAAAGAAACCTCTGTGTATCATTTATCATATTGATTCTTTTTATCGGTTGACACTAATCCATAAAGTACTGACTGTGGTAGTAAGATTTCCCTCGCAAATGTCCCCGGTAAACAATCGCTCAAGACAGAATTGACACCGTCAAATATGGCGACAGTCGAATACGGCCAATTTTGATGTATAAATGTCCCCAATTGCCGTTACCACAATATATTTCACAACACTGTAAATGAAATACATGTCAGCCTATCTTATGCTCACTAACTTCGTTTGATGCTACTGATGCTTCTGATGGTGATGATGATGATGATGATGATGATGATGATGTAAATAATGATAATGACAATGACAATGATGAGGATGATGATGATGTATATAATGGTAATGACAATGACAATGATGATGATGTTGTTGATAATGATGATGATGATGATGATGATGATGATGATGATGATGATGATGATGATGATGATGATGTAAATGATGTAAATGATGTAAATGATGATAATGATGAGGTTCACTCCAAGCAGACATCATTGATACAGTGTCTACTTGCTTTTATAAATTTTAATTCCTGGGCCAAAGTTATCAAAAACCTATATTCCTGTTTTATAGTGACACTTATTTTATCCAGATATACAAATGCACACGATTACATAAACTGTGTATCCTTATGTGGATTAAGTCGTGTTGTGTTTGGAAGTATGTATAACCAGTAGTATTACGGTATATCACCTGAGAGAATCCCCAACTTCGCTGAGATTGGAGGCAAACATCTTAACCCCAAAGAAAAAAGAATCTACTTTTACTACAAATTATAATAACACAAAATAAAAAAAATGTGCTTGTCTCCACCTTATAAAACACATGTATCGATTTTACATTGTACTCTTATACAATATTCAAATAATTATTGTTTATAGCCAGACAGTAAAATGCACTGTTGAATGGCAAACGATTGAGGTTTGCAACATACTTGTAAGTATAAAAAAAATTACTAAACAACCAACATAACTTGGACAAAGGAAAGTGGTGCAAGAAGAATATTTAACATTGTAAAAATATTTCATCAGAAATACCGATTTTATAGTTGAACAAATGTTTAATTTTAGTTCACATGACGATAATGTACAACAAATATCTCACCCAGATTACTCAATGTAAACAGGATGACATTTCTATACCATAGTATTATTATTAACGTATATGGTACTGTAGGAACATGCTGTACGGTTACCAAAAGCAAGATTTGTTATGATTATTTAAATAATTATTTGTACAAAAACCGGTGTTTAGATGAATATTTTGTTTTAATACCCAATATATGAACTCATCAAAATAATACCAATTGAACGCATAACTCTTATTTATTTCGAATTTGATACCGATTATGATGTTTTGACATAGACCTACGTCAAATAAAACAAAATAGCAAATGTTGTTTTAACACACTATTTTGTATTATTATTATAAATTTCTTGATCTGTTCGATACTTGGCAATCTGATTCCAGTCCGAAATGATTACTGTATCGCATATCTATATCTATAAACTCTTTGATACATGCCGCTTCGGTGTAATACAAACATTTTGACAGACATTAAAACAAATTATGATTGCAGAAATACCTATCTGTGGGTGTACAGCATTTACCAGAAATACTGAACAAATATCTTGTACTTAGCTAGGATAACAGATTGGAGATTATATTTTTCGTTTGACCCTTCTGTATAGGTTGTTCGCATCTTAGTCAATAATTGGGTATTGGTAATATTTACCGGACGGAATGAATCTGTTCACTCAATTCAAAATGATGCATGTAATAATTTCAAAATTTGGAATAGCCTATTTGTTGATTTACTTTATGTAAAAAATATTTAGTACAATCAGTATGAACTTGAAATATAGGTCTAAGTACATTTTTAATTTGAGCTTTTAAAACTTTCTTCATATTTAAGTAGTGTAAGCATGCATTGTGTTTCAAGACCAACCGTTAAAAGGTGGCGAAATAGTATAACTAGTATAGTAAACTGGTTCATTCTTAGTTATACCATGGGTGTAAAAAAATTAAACGACAAAATAAATACAACTAAACTGATTAAATTCTACTCTATTTTAATGTATTGTATATCTCGAATATGATGATTTAAAAATTGATATCGATATACACGATTTTATGCGAATATTCGTTAATACGAGTTCTTTATTTTTTGTTTTTTATTTTTATTATTTTTTTTTTAACACAAGAGGTCGTCTGTAGTTTAATTGGCTCGTCTTCCTTGTAACATGATGCAGGATTTAGGCCTAATCAGTATATTCGGCGTGTATCCATAATGTACCAAACGCTTTATACTACTTATTTGCAGCATCATTTATGCCATTATTTTCTAATAAGCATTGGAATGAAAGTGATATTCTATTAGATAAACAATCAAACATTACTTTTATTTTAACGTCTATTTTTCTAATTACCTATTTAAATCCAGGCTAGTTTTTATTTGATATTGAACCAAACGAATGGTCAATATCAGAAGCTTTGAAAGAAATGTTGTATGTTCTGAAAGGGTTGCATTTGTTCGTATATTGTTTTTGGTTAAATTATCTATATATATATTTGTTGTTTGTAGAAAAGTGGTTTGCCTTACTATTTTTTTAAATATGAGTACAAATAAAAACGCTATCATATTTAGATTCACTTTTGGACTTTTCTTCAGTGATCTTCAGAGATTCTGTAAATATCTGCAGCCATATACGGGAATAGAACTCGAAATCTGTCTATAGTATTTTATAATAGATTATTCATTATACCTCTATTATTATTATTATTATTATTATTATTATTATTATTATTATTATTATTATTATTATATTTATTATTCTTATTGTTATTATTATTATTATTAAATATTATTATTATTATTATTATTATTATTATTATTATCATCATCATCATTATAATGTAAATTAATATGAACATGAATTGACATTTCATACTCTATAACAAGGCTTAACACTTAAAAGTTATTATCATCTAAATGTTGTAGACGTCTGCGTTTTAATAGACATAATACAATTCCTTGTTTACGTTTTATAAAATAATATATAGGCCTGGTGTGTTTATTGTTATTGTTGTTGAAAAAAATATGTAGTAACTTTGTCTTCAACTTTCTGTTCTTTAGTAGGGCATGGAAATTCTAACTACCGTTTTTTTTTTATCTCAACCACTGTAATAATACAATTGCGATTCCCTTTTTATGAACGTGTGTCTTGTCATCTTCTACCACGATTGCTAACACGTCATTACTTATATAATAATTATAGCATCCAAATCTTCAGCATCAACACTAAAATTAATTATGTATTTATAAATATTGGCGTCATTGCCATCTTCAATAGTATGGTCATTGTCAACGTAATTATAAGTATTACCGTAATTTATTTGAAATATATCTTAGTATCGAGATTTTTAATGTTTTGGTCATCAACCCACACCGTCTGTATACATTCTCCATGGTACATAATACTATAATATAATTGGAATTATGTATATTTAATCACCGTTTAATTGAAAATTTGAAAGAAAAATAAAGTACACGCCAATTAAAGCCGAGTAACACTGTTCATAATCCCCTTTCCATAGATCTTTAGGTGTCGTGATCAGTTTGTGGAAATACCGTAGTCTCTTTGTAGGCCTATCTTTCTGTCATCTTCACTTGTAGCTACATCTAATCTTTTCTGATATTTTCTATGTTTTTGTAGTTTTTGGTGGCTTTGTATTGACACTAGTAAGATTTAGAGTAATTTTATTATGGCTACCATATGAGTTTTAATATTAATAATTTGTATTATCTTATTATATATGTATACTAGTAGTGAAACTTGCTTTTTATATCAATACTATTTCTTCATTGGAAAATTTTCGTTAGCTTGCCTTCACCATTCAGTCAATCCATGGTAATTATAAAAATAGTGCAATGAATTTATTTGTAGGTTCAGAATTTTCTTCGTTGAATTTCTATACACGAAATGATGCATTTGCTAATCGTATAAAAGATTAGGCGAAGCAAGTAAAACCGAGTTTACGAAAATATAATAGAAATGTGTTTTGAAGATCATCGTTATGAAATTGTTGTGAAAATAATATACATATTAAAAGCACAAATAATTCAATTTGAAGTTAAAAGTCTTGTTATACTTTAATGAATTGCATTGATTTTCACATAAATTTAAATACATACTGTAATTCCTTTTTGGAATATTTTTAATACCTACTAAATGCATTTTCTGAAAATTGTTGACAA